TTAATTTCAGCCTGGTTCAGCTCATGTTCCTCCACCACCACTTTTTTTAAGGACAAGTACTACTGTTAGGAAGTACTACTGCAGGCTGCGCTGGAAATGGCCATGCGGTGACAGGCTTTCCTCTTAATGTGTTTTGTTTTCGAATGCTGGTGATTGTTAAATGTTTAGACTTGCTTTCCAGGGCAGAAGGAACAGTTACGGCATTCAAACTTGTTGTATCTAGTATGCATGCAACCACTGAAGCCCATCTCTAGCGGAGTATTCTGGTGCTACCTCTCCAGTGTAGCTGGTGTTTTTCAAGGAAATCACAGGCCTAAAAATAGTCTGCATAAACAGTAGCAAGACAGTTGTGCTTTTTTTTCCTGCTTCAGTATTTGAAAATCACTTGTTTGTTCTCAAACTGTGCTGGGTATTCAAAACCAATGGCATTTAGTTGGAAAACAAGAACAACATTTCTAGGTGCTTGTTATACAAATGAAACTTTAAAATGCTGTGAAGGACCAGAGACCAGTGGTTTGCACTCTTAAGCCAGTGTGACACCCAGTGGCCCTCTCCTCCTACCTTATGCATTGTTTCCACATGATCCAGCCACTGCAGTTTGAAGTCCATGATAATGTGCGTGCCTTTGGCCTAACATGCTCTATTTGCTGCTTAAACATTTCCAATAATAATAATGATAACAACGGTGGCAGCGGCAGCAACAGCAGCAGCTCACCCACTCCAAAGCCTCTGTTGCTTGAGGGCTTAGATTCACTTGCGCTGCTAGTGCACTTGCACAGTGCCGTCCATCCAGTACCCATGGAGAATCTTATTATATACATTCAGTATTTCACTTTTTAAAAAATACCGCTCTGAAAATTGTAGAGAGAACGAGAATTAGAAAAGTTGCAGGGGAAAAGAGTACAGAACAACAGAAAAAGAATGCAAGTGGAATATAAAAACCTATAAAGCAAGAACAGGTTGGGCTTTCTTTTTTTGTTACTTCTTGAAACATATCAAATTCTGAATACAGTGTTGGACCAAGCATAGTTTGCTGTCTTGTTCTCACTCCACTTCCAAGTTCAATAAAGTTATATCTACTTCTTTATATTTGTTATATTTGTACCCTGCTTTCTACAAAAACTGGCACTAAGACCATAATGAAATAAATTGCACCCTGCGAAAGTGTGTAAATTAGGCCCTTGTTTTTTTATGTAACTTGGAATGGCCTCCCATCCTTTCTACTGAGGTTACGGTGTGACTTTTTCATACATGACGCATAAAAAAAAATCTGAAAGTTCTTCAGTACTCTGGAATTTTGAGCAAGTCCTTCTCACAAAGAACAATGACTAAGTAGTCAGAAAGTGACTGGGAATTTTTGCTGTTGACAAGAGGGGATTGCAGATTTGAATTTCAGATTTTTGTTTTAAATCTGGGACAAATAGCATCTTTTTGAAACTGAGGCTAAAATCCTATCTACATTCATGTAGGAGTTGGCCTCAGTGAATACCCTGAGGTTTACTTCTGAATAGACAGGCATAGGATTGGCACTAAGAGGCTGCAGTCCTGAACATTATTGGAAAATAAGCCCAATTGAACACTGTGGGAGTTACTTTGGATTAAACATGCATGAGATTGTAATGTGCCTTTAAAACAGCATAAACTTTCAGACTTTTTATAATAAAAATATTAAGATATATATATATTGAATTGGCTTAAAAGGTATCCTAGGTTTTAAATCTGTATTTTAACAATGTAACACAACTATTCCAGTGCACAAACTTGAATTCTCTGAATCTGGAATCCTCAACATGCTGACTTGAGAGCAGTGTGTCTGAAATGTTGTAAAATAGGACTTCGAGCCAGGATGGTATAGTGGTTGGAGTGGCATGTGAAGCTCTGTGGGTGACTTGGGGCCAGTTACTGACTTAGCCTACTTTACGAGTTTGTTGTGAGGATAAATGGAGAGGAGGATTATGTAAGCTCTCTTGGATTCCATGGAAGAGGAAGAAAGGCCAGATGTGAATGTGCTATAATGATAACATTATTCCTCTGCAACAGAAAACACAACAATAGCACATAAGTAGGCAACCCTAAGCTAATGTATATTCTGTTTTTCATTTTTAATGTTAATATAAGTATTACTTTGGTTAACCACCCAGAGAGCCTTGACGATTGGGCAGTGTAAAACTAAAATAAATAAACAAATTCAGCCAAAAGCATTTGAATAGAATTTGAACATGGCATATTAGGGATGGGGAGTGTTGTCCTTCAGATATTGTTGAACCATGGTTAGCCAGATTAACCAAAGAGCTACACAGGCCCCATACAGAGAGGGAAGCAGCCTATCTTTTAAATGGGCTACACAGTAATTGAGTGGTGGCAGCCCTTGGGAATGGAGGGGAAACAAGTCCCTCATTAAGCGTCCCTTCCAGCAATATGTTAGCTCATCTGTGAATCACAACCCACAATTTGAGAATAAATGCTCTAGTGTCGCTTTTCCCAACATTATGCCTTCCAGATGTTTTAGATTTCAACTTCCATCATCCCCAGTGGTCCAGAATGCTGAGAGTTGTAGCTGAGAACAACTGGAGGGCACAAGGCTGGGAAAGTCTGGTTTAGAGTGTGTTGGAAGGATTTGGGGGGAAATAGTTTGAAAATTGTGACTGTCCTATATACTAGCAGCAACTAATTCTCCAAGCCATACCATCCATGCACAAAAGGGATTCTTGACAGTTTTAGGAGATCACCAAGATTTATAAAAATAGAAAAACGATGTGGGGGGAGGGTCAAAGGGGGAAATACTCCAAAACCAGGTCAGTGTGGACTCAGCAAACTCAGCAGGGATAGAATGCTGACTGTTGGGTGGAAATGGAGTGTCATGGAAAAGTTGGAACCTGGAACATGACTGTGTTGCTCAGTACTGTGTTGTTGCTTGCTCTAGTTGTTTCCTAGGCATGTTCACAGATTTTGGTGTAATTATCCTATGTGACCAGGGAACATATCAGGGTGCCATGTTACTTTAAGTAGTTATATATAGTGGCCACTCACACATGGGAGCATGTTTATGTGGAGGAGGGCATTGCATGAATCAGGCACTTTTGTGAGCTTTGGTGGGCTGCAGAAAGGCCTGGTAGAAAACCAGCAGTCTGCATGGTGAGCTAGTCCAGGCAAATGTCTGGCCATTTAGTAAGGCCTACTACATGGAACAGTGTAAGCCAGCCTCAGCACACTGTCTGCAGAGTGTAGATATGTTTGTTTGGAAAGAAAACAAACTACGGCTGAATCATTAAACTGAACTACTTCCTTACTACACTGAGTATTTGAAGTTGACATGCCAATGGATGTTACACCTCCATCTGGTACAAATGTGGGACACAAGTTTTGGGGGCTTGCCATGATCAGAAATGTGCCCAGAGCTGCTTTGGAGAAGTGTTTGTCTTCCCCTGCTGCCATATTGTTAAAATCAGTCTTTCCTTTCCGTTGGAAGAAAAAAAATATCCAAAGCATGCAGAGAGTTCTTTTTAAAACTTTATTGCACCAAAGGGAACAGAAAAAAATGGTTTCCTTCCCATTTTCCTGTTCACCTGAGCCCATGTTCACATCCCCCTTTGGAACCCTGCTCCTGGCCGCTTCTCCCTTCTCCTTTCCCATCATTGGCTGGGGTACCGGGAGCTTACAGTCTTTCCGCCCGCCTACTCTGCGCTGCTCCAACACCGGCCCTTCTTCCCCATCCAGCCCCCTCCCCCGGGCTACAATAGGCTCATTTTGTTCTGCCAAGCTTGTCAATAAACAATCAGGAAGTCATTGAGTCAGTATTTGGCCATCCTGCCTTTTCTCACACCTTGTGCTATCTGATCTTACCCCCTTCTCTCCTTTGGGCTAAGTAATTTTCTTTGTTACCTTTAAAATCTTTCTACTCCCTTGTTTCAAATCATCCTTTCACACCTATCAATATTCACAAACACACACACCTTTTCACAACCAAGGCCTCTTTCCTTCTTTGCAGCCACAGATTTTGAACACCCATGTTACCCATGAGCTAGCCTACCTCACGAGTTGCTGTGAGGATCAGATGGAGTGAGGGAGGATTATCTAAACTGACTTGGGTTCCTTGAAAGAGAAAGGGTATCAAATGCCATGTAATAATAATAATCTTGGGCAGGAACACCGAGTTCCCCTCCTCTAGAACATCTTTCTGAGGAATTTTGCAAGTCTCTGTAATCCCTAGCTGCAGTTGACAACCTTGGAGTGGGGGATGTTACTGAGCTAAGTTCCTAAGGTTTTGGGAAGTAGCTTGCCTTAGTTCTGAGTCAGTCAGATGTGAGTCATAGAGAGCCTGCCCATTGCTAATCAGAACTAGATTCAGCCAAATCCTGAATCAAATGGAGCCACTTTAGAGTGATTCTGAGACCCTGAGACAAAGAGGAATTTCCTCCAACAATGATGAGAACTGAAGCTGCACAATCCCAAAATGTAAGTCCTGAGTTTTAACTGATATGCTAAAATAAGAAACCTCAGACGCACATGTTTCTAGTCACCAAGATGCCTCAGGCTATACATAAATATCTTTCAGCCTCCAGCTTGTTTGGGAATCATTTTAAGACTTCCGTTCGAATCGGAATGGCTACTCTATATATAAAATTCAGTTTTCTGTTCCATGTGGAAGTACACTAAATTTGGGGGGATATGCCTTATCATCTTGTTCATTGGATGGTATAATGTTAGAGTTTGTATTATATATATTTCATAATCCATTCATATTGCTGTTTCAATAAGATTGTATGATGTTGAAATAATTCCTTTGGCCCTCTGCTGGATGACAGTGCTAAATACAGAACACATGTTAAAAATGTAAGCTTTCCTTAGAAGATAGAAAAATCAAAGGCAATAAAGAATATAACCATTGGATA